TTTCAGCATTTGCTGAAATCCGAGACTCGGTGCACTCCAACCAACTGGCGTGCTGCAACTGTATGAACCCCACTTCGTGAAATGTTGCACAGAGGGCTCTTGTCGATTTGCTGGCCCGCCTTCACTTAGGGCGGGCACTAGGCTTGCTGGGGCCTTAGCCCAGAACATGTACATCATGGCAAGGCCCCTACTTGAGGGCTCAATCCTCACACGTTCTATTTTGTCTTGTTTTGTATCAACAGGTCATTATGGTCCTGGCCCCATTCTATGCTGGGGAGTGTCAGTCTGGTTCCTTTTCCACTGGCAACGAAGGCAAGTCAAAATGGATTACAAATTACAATAATATACACCCCAGGCTTCCTTCCATTAACGCCGAAGAATGTTCCTTGAACTTCCTTCTTTCTTTCTCTTTTTGTTTTGTTTTGTTTTGTTTTTTAACAACGTAAAGGCTGAGAGCTTTAGACATTTTCTAAATTCTAATTTCTAACTGAATTACTGNTGAGAGCTTTAGACATTTTCTAAATTCTAATTTCTAACTGAATTACTGAGATGGAGGGACTGAATAACTGGTGATGCTAAGCTGCATGTTTGGTCCTTATGACCAAGTTTATGTCCATGCTTGTTTGAGCACAATGGGACTACGATGGGATCTAAATGTGCTGTGGTCTTTATGACCAAGTGTATGTACATACTTGTTTGAGTACAATGGGACTACGATGGGATCTAAATGTGCTGTCATTTGTTTCGTCTTTCCTTTTCTGCACCCCGTAGCCTTCCATCCACCTTGTCCTTCTTCTCTCCTTGCCTTTTTCTGCTGTTTGTCATTATTGTTCTCCTCTTGTCTTGATATTTCTGATTGCAATTGATGAAAACAATTGACTCGATCTCAGGATAACGAAATATTGTTTCATGTCGCGTTTTGGACACTGCCTTTGTCCTTTCTTTGACTTCGGCGGATCTTTCTGCTTCCTATCTGTTGGCTCAGTGGCTCCTCCTCCAACTACCAGGTGTTGGTTAAGTAGATGTGCGTCGCAGTTCGGAAGGATGTCTTAACTTCATGAATGAATGGCATAATGGAGACTAGATGCAAATGGATTCTCTGTACAATGAGTGTTGGTGGCGAATGAGATGTGGCTGCAATACTGCATAGGAGGTTGCCTCACCTTATCTGTAGTATCTGAACACATGATCTCTCCAGGTTGACATGGTGGATGAAGCTTTGTCCCTGGTACAAGTTGCAGTTGATTCATGTCAATCCATTCCTACTGCTCGTGCACTACTGTACAGCGAGCTTGCTGCCCTTGTTGAGCACAGAAAACTCGCTCCAAAAGTTCTAGAATGGTACGTACTACGTCCTGAATCATGCAGAACTTTGTTGCTTTTTTTTTTTCTTTTGTGGATCCATCTGATTCCATCAGGATTGAAACTCAATTCTCAGTTTACTAAAAGTTGCATTTGTGTACTGAAAGTTTAGGCTTCCGTTAACCATCTCTCCCCCTCCCTCTGCTGGCATTTCTGAAATTATATATATATATATATATATACAGTTATGTGTAGCATCGTGTTCGGGTTCGGGTTCGGTGACCGAACCCGAACGTTCGGGACCGAACGCGAACGAGCGCCGAAACTCTCCAAACGCGAACATTAAAAAAAAAAAAAAAAAGTAGTTCTCCAAAAAATCTGAAAAAAATATATTTGTTAAGAATAATACTAATACAAACAACTTTTGCCTTGGAGGTATGCTCAAATTCGTAACCAAACTCGAGTTAAAAATCAAAAACCAAAAACAAAGTTTTTTTTTTTTTTTTTTTTTTTGAATATGTTCGGCCGAACCTGTTCGGGTGGCGTTTGGCCGAACACCCGAACATGTTCGGACGTTCGGAAAAGCTCCGAACATGTTCGGTGTGCTACACTATATATTGTCACATAACTACAAACTAAAAGAGCACACTTTGCGGAACAAAGAATAAAAGCAAAAAACGGGCACAGTGATAACATGCGAAAAATAAAAATAAAAACAAAAAGAAAAAATAAGGGCAGATTGAAACCATTCTATAGATATAGATATAGATATAGATATTGCGCTCTTTTAGTTCATAGTTATGTGACAATATATAGATATACATATAGCCTACGGTTTACCGGGTAGTTCTGTTTGTGACGATATATATATACACAGGGTCACCAGCCCATACGTACGGAGGTCCCCGGGCCGACCTCCGTACGTACGGGCGTTTGGGGTCCCGTATGGGGCCCGAACCCGACGGCGTTCGGCCCCCACCAAAAATTATTTCGGGGCCTTTTTTTTTTCTGAATTTTTTTTGTGATCTCTCTATGATGTGAGGTACATGCCTATAAATTTTGACGTCATTTTGCCTAGCCAAATAGGAATTAAAAATCGCCAAAGATGGCGGTGTCGAAAGGTGCTCGCCCACGTTTTTTTTCACTTTTTACTTTTTGTTTTTATTTTAGTTTGGGGTCTAAACCATTTTATTATTTTTTTAAAAAAAATTAGTGGGTTTTGTATTATGTGAAGTACACATCTGTAAATTTTCAGGGCATTTGGATATGCCAAAAAAAGAAAGAAAAATCACCAAAGATGGCGGTGCCGAAAACGTGCTCGCGCACTCACTAAATAGTAAATTTAATTCTCTTTTTATTTTTTGTTATTATTATTATTAGTATTTGTTCTCTGTATTTTATTTTTATTTCAAATTCGGTAAGGAATTTGGATGTAATGCTCAGGCAAATCTTGTTTAATTTATTTTTCTACATAACATATCGTTTTTTTAGATTTTTTTGAAATGTTTTTTTTGGTTTTTGTTTTTGTTTTTTTTTGGGTCCGCGTTCGGCCCGAACGGCCAAACGCATCCCCAAGGGGTCCGATACGTTCGGGCTTTCGAGTTCGGGCGTTCGGCCCGTCCCGAACGCCGGTTACCCTGTATATATATATATATATATATAGGGTTCAGCCTCCTGATGAGTCGGTGAAACTCCGACGAAACAGTTTGTCACAGCCCCTCGTTTGTTGTCCTCTTCTCTCTCTCTGCCTACGGTTTACCGGGCAGTTCTGTTTGTGACGATAGCCTCCTGATGAGTCGGTGAAACTCCGACGAAACAGTTTGTCACAGCCCCTCGTTTGTTGTCCTCTTCTCCCTCTCTGCCTACGGTTTACCGGGCAGTTCTATTTGACGATATATATATATTTTTGATGAT